GTCATCTCGAAGCGTGTCTTGAGGTCGTTCTTGGTGCGCGCAATCATCTCGAGCGAGCTTCCAGTCACCAAGACATCGTCCACGTAGACCAGCACAAAAACACAATGGCCTTCCGAAGTCATGATGTAGAGACATGGATCGAATCCCGACGCTTGAAAACCAATCGAGCATATGAACTCGTCGAAGGTCTCGTTCCAAACACGCGAGGCTTGCTTGAGACCGTAGATCGCCTTGATCAGCTCGAGACAGTCGAAATCACCTTCCATCTTGACGCCTTCCGGAACAGCGCAGAACACCTTCTCCTTCATCACTCCATACAGGAACGCAGTCACCACATCGAGCTGGTCGAGGGGCCATCCAAAGTGCTTGGTAATGGCGATGACCATTCGCAGCGTCACATACTTGACCACGGGCGAGAACTTCTCCGTGTAGTCGATGCCATACTTTTGGCGAAAACCCTTGGCCACAAGTCGTGCCTTGTATTTCTCGATCGACCCATCCGCCTTGCGCTTGATCTTGAAGACCCACTTTGTGCCAATGGCGCTTTGTCCGTTGGGTAACTTGGCCGCACGAAAGACACCGCGAAGCTTCATCGAATCGAGCTCCGCATCAATTGCCTTGCGCCAGTGTACTTGGTCCGGGCCAGACACTGCTTCTTCAAATGTCGACGGCTCCGAAAAATCGACCGCTGCTTCGACGGCGTTTGCACTCGCATGCCAAAACGCGGAGGAAGTCGGTGTGTCATGTTGTTCCTCCGACTTCCTTTCTTCATCTTCGTTGGCTCGACGTGAAGAGAGGTCATCCGGCGCACTTGACTCTTCCAATCCGGGTCGTTGGCGCACTGCTCGGGGCATGCTTGCGTCGTCATTGTCGTGACTGGGTTGGGCCTTGCGCTTTCCTGTTTGTTTGAAGTGTCTCGGACGCGGTTCTTCATCATCAAGATCGATCGATTCGAAGTCCAGGCCATCAACATCGTCATCGGAAATCATCATCGACATTCCAAAGGCCGACTCATCGAAGTTGACATCGCGACTTATCATCACCTGCCCCGCTTCGATGTCGTAAACTCGATACGCCTTGGACACTTCTTCGTAGCCCAAAAACAATCCAGCCCGGGCCTTGGGATCCCACTTGAGTCGTTTCTCCTTCGGGGTCAAGATGTATGCTTGGCACCCAAAAACGCGCATGTGCTTGACACTTGGCTTAGAACTGTAGACAATCTCGAACGGTGTCTTGTGTGGAATCTTGGGTGACGGCAAACGGTTCTTCACATAGACGGCCGTCATTGCCGCTTCAGCCCAGAAGCACTTGTCCAACTTGGCATGATGGAGCATGCTACGACCGATGGTGACGATAGTTCGAATCGCGCGTTCAGCAGTTCCATTGGCTTGATGTGCGTATGGCACCGTGGTTTGTTGCTCGATGCCTTCGACTTCGTAGAAATCTTGAAGCGAGTTCGTCGCAAACTCGCGGGCTCCATCGTGTCGCACAAATTTGACCTTCTTGTTGAACTGCGTCTGTATCATCGTGATGTACTTCTTGATGCACTCTTCGCTTTCTGACTTGGAATGCAGACAAAAACCCTTCATGCATCCGCTGGCTTCATCCACGATCAGCAGCAGATACTTGCTGCCACCCAGAGATTTTTCTTCCATGGGTCCGCAGATGTCGAAGTGGAGCATCTCGAAGGTGTTGTAGGTGCGCTTGTCACGGTTGCTCGGGAATGGTTTTTGGACCATCTTCCCTTCTTGGCATCCTCGACACACACTTGATCCATTCGGCTTGGAAGGGATGTGAGCGTCCTTGATCATGTGGCTTGTCACCATCCTGCGAAGCACGTCGACTGGAGCATGGCCCATTCGCGCATGTAGATCAACAGCGTTGCTGAGTGATGTCGCATTGGCCGATCGCTGCGTCGTGCGAAGCCAGTAGAGTCCGTCTACAAGATCCGCAGCTGCCACCACTTGATTGGAATCCTTGCGAGCGACGTACATCGTATCCCCGTCAAACACCACTTGGAAGTTGCCGTGCTTGTTAATCTGCGGCACCGAGAGCAGATTTTTGCTCATGCTGGGCACATAGAGCGCGTTCTTGATCTCGATCTCGCGCTCTTCCCCGTTTGGCAGAATCACCTTTTCCACGATGGTCCCCACACCTTTGATGGCCGCCTTGTTGCCATCAGCCACCAGGATCTCGCCATCATTGCCTTCGACCAAGCTTGCAAACTTGAACTTGTCGTGGCAGATGTGATGTGTTGCCCCGCTGTCAACGGCCCACATTCCTGGTTCATTCTTGTTCGTCGAAACTCCGCATTCGAACGAAACTGCAAACGCCACTCGATCGTAGCTGTTGCCTTCATCATAATGTCGCCACTGGACATTGTTTGCCCCGCGTCCACGACCATTGCCGCCGCGTTGGGCTCCTCGACTTTCATCCTTTTGCTTCGTCCAGCAACGCTCTGCCGTGTGCCCCACCTTGCCGCAGTATGTGCATGGGTAGGGCTTGCGCTCGGTACTGAATGCCTTTGTCGCATCTTCAGTCTTCACCGTTGTCGTTGCCGTTGTCATCTTCTCGCCTTGTCGCTTGATGTGCTCGTTAGTCAGCACCTTGACCACATCTTGCGTGCGCAGCTCTGCATTGCTCATCTCCAAGTTCAGAACCACGTTCTCGAAACTCTTCGGGAGACTGAGCAGCAAGCAGATCGCAATGTCTTCGTCTTCCATCTTGGCACCGATGCTGCTGAGCTTGGCGCCGATGTTCAAGACTTCGTTGCAATGGTGCAAGACGTTGGCACCTTCCGCCATCTTGATGCTGAACAGCTGGCGCTTGAGGTAGATGCGTCCCGCCTTCTGCGACCCACCATAGAGCATCTTCAACCGCGACCACGCTGTCCATGCTTCTTCACAGTTGTCGACCACATGGTGGTAGTCGGCGTCCATGTGGAGCAACATCAACCCGAACGCGATGTTGCTCGCCTTGACGTACTCGTCGGAAGCTCGCGTGTCGGTGAAGGTTGGAGACGTTTCGCGGTTCACGACGTACCAGACTGACTTTTTTTCGTCAGAAACACGCCGCGCATGTAGCGACACCAGGTTGAGTAGTTGTCCCCATCGAACTTATCGATGGAGACACTGGCCGAGGTGTTGTTGGACGACATGGCGCTTGGGCTCATAACCTGTTGTAACTTGAGCGCGAGGCGAAGAGAAAACGAAGCGGAGAGACCGGAGAGAACGAAGCAGAGAACACTTGCTCACTTGAGGGAGGATTCGAAAGTGATTGATTTATAGGTCTTAACTTCTGCCTACCCTAGACTGCATCCAATCACATGGCGCATCTAATCAACCTGATTTACACGCGTCCAATCATCCTACGCGTCTAATCATCTCTGAGGTAATTACCGATGTAAAAACTATCTCGTAAGAACTACGCGCTAGGTTCGGATTGTACCGGTAACCCTCAATAGGTTTGTTGGAGAATTGACACATCTGGGACAAGGTGACTCCCCAAAGTGCATCTGGGACCAGGTGGTACAGGTCGGTGAATCGGCAAAGAAGGTGCAACACCATACGGATCGGTGATACTCTTTACCGATCCTAAATTAGGAGTACTGATTTTGGTTAATTATACACCGATCTGGAAGTTTTGCATACTCAGAGAAGTCAAGGAACCCGATGTCGAGACGTATGAATGAAGTTGTTGTTGCATTGTAGACCGGAGCGAGGAAAGCGGAGCGAACGGAGCGGAGAGACCGAAGAGAGTAGAGCAGAAAACACTTGCCCAATAGTTGGAAGATTCGAAAGTGATTGATTATCGGGGCTTACTACTTACTACATGATTTATATGTGGTGTACATATAAATCATGTGAAGCGTCTCATCATCCTACGCGTCTAATCAACCATGGTAATTACCGTAAGAACTACGTCGTAAATACTAAGCTGAACAGGCGGTTCGGATTGGATCGGTCACGGTTACCAATACTGGTAGAAAACCGATGACCGTCAACACGCCCCCTCAATCCGAATGCTCACGAATCCCGAGAGCCGTCGTCATCTCCTTGTGGCGTGGTCCATGAAGTCCCTTCGTCATGATGTCCGCTAACATCACCGCAGTTTCACAGTACGTGAGTTTCACTTCACCGCGCTTGACCTCATCACGGATGTGATGGTACTTGATATCAATGTGCTTGGCACGGCCGTGGTTGACTGGGTTCTTCGTCATCTTGATACATGACTGATTGTCTTCATGAATCATGAGTTCCGGTCCTTCTTCATTGGCAGCCATCACGATCTCACAAAGCAGACGATGAATCCACTTGCCCTCTTGAATCGCCAAGCTGAGTGCGATGTATTCAGCTTCAGTCGTGGACAACGAAACACTTGGCTGCTTCTTGCTGCCCCAACTCACTGGCGCACCGAGTAGCATGAACGTGTACCCCGATGTTGACTTGCGGTCGGTAAGATCACCAGCCCAATCCGCATCCGAATATCCACGGAAGTCGATCCTTGCACTTGGCTTGTAGCAAATTCCATGCGTCTTGGTGCCTTGTAGGTAGCGAAAGATACGCTTAACTGCAACCCAGTGTTCTTATTGGGGATTTTCCATGAACCGCGACACATAGCCCACCGCAAACGCAATGTCCGGACGCGTTGCAGTGGTCAGGTGCATCAACGCACTGTTGACAGTCATCGGTTTCTACCAGTATTGGTAACCGTGACCGGTCCAATCCGAACCGCCTGTTCAGCTTAGTATTTACGACGTAGTTCTTACGGTAATTACCATAGTTGATTAGACGCGTAGGATGATGAGACGCTTCACATGATTTATATGTGCACCACACATAAATCATGTAGTAAGTAGTAAGCCCCGATAATCAATCACTTTCCAATCTTCCATCTACCCCCCAAGTATCTTCTCCGGTCTTCCGAGTAGACTCCCAGCATCACTCCCAGTTTCGGTCGTCAAGCTTTTCACCCCTCAACAGGTTATGAGCCCAAGCACGATGTCCTCTGCTCATGATGCCACCACCAAGATCTCCATTGACAAGTTCGACGGCGACAACTACGCGACGTGGAGCCGCTACATGCGTGGCGTGTTCCTGACCAAGTCGGCGTGGCACGTGGTGAACCGGGAGACCACCCCCACCTTCGCCGATCCTCGCGCCAGTGACGACTACGTCAAGACGAACAACATTGCGTTCGGCTTGATGCTGCTGCACATGAGCGCGGATTATCATCACGTGGTTGATGACTGTGAAGAGGCGTGGGTCGCGTGGGCGCGTTTGAAGACGCTGTACGGCGGGTCGCAGAAGGCTGGACGCATCTACTTGAAGCGCCAGCTGTTCAGCATGGAGATGGCGGAAGGCGGCAATGTGATGCATCATTGCAACGAAGTCCTCAACATCAGCGCGAAGCTCAGCAGCATCGGCGCCAAGATGGAGGACGAGGACGTGGCGATCTGCTTGTTGCGCAGCCTCCCCAAGAGCTACGAGAACGTCGTTCTCAACTTGGAGATGAGCAGCGCGGAACTGCGATCGCGAGACGTCGTGAGAGTGCTCACGAATGAGCACATCAAGAGGCAAGGTGACAAGACGACATCGGTGAAGACTGAAGACGCGGCGAAGGCGTTCAGTGCCGAGCGTGAACCTCGCCAGTGTACATACTGCGGAAAATTGGGGCACACGGCGGAGCGGTGCTGGACCAAGCAGAAGGACGAAAATCAAGTTGGAGCTCGACGCGGCGGCAACAATGCTCGTGGACGCGGAGCCAACAACGTTCAGTGGCGAACCAACAGCAACTACGATGACAACTACGATTGAGTTGCGTTCGCGGTTTTGCTGGAGGCTGGACTTTCGACGGGCAAGAATATGCCAGGGATGTGGGCAGTCGACAGCGGTGCGACGCATCACATCTGCAACGACAAGGCCAAGTTTGCAAGCCTGAATGAGCGAGAGGAAGGCGAACTGTCAGTGGCTGATGGCAGCAAGGCTGCGATCAAGGGTGTGGGAACCATCATGGAACGGGTGGTTCTGCCCAATGGTGACGAACGCGACATCGAGATCAAGGACGCACTGTTCGTACCAAGTATGAGCAAGAATCTGCTTTCGGTGCCACAGATCAACAAGGGTGGCAGGTTCCAAGTCGTGTTCGATGGATCCAACATGCAAGTGAAGCGCAAGAATTCCACACAAGTCGTGGCAACAGCGGATCTCGTCGATGGACTTTACTGGCTGCGGACTCCTCAACGATCGGCAAATGCAGCAACACGCAATGGGACCATCGACTTGCATGCGCGCATGGGTCATGCACCCCTCGAAGTTCTGCGCAAGATGGTGGCCACTGGCATGATCAAGGACGCCAAGGCACCTCTCAACTCGACTGGTCCAAGTGTGTGTCGCGGTTGCCAGCAAGGAAAGATGGTTCAAAAACCATTCCCAACCAACCGTGACAAACGCCAATATGGTGTGTTCGAGTTGCTGCACTTCGACATCTGCGGGCCAATGGAACAAGTCTCGATCGGCGGCAGCAAATACTTACTGCTTGTGGTTGACGAAGCTAGCGGTTGCATGAAGGGCTTCTGTCTGCGGTCCAAGTCTGAGAGTGAAGACTGTATCAAGAACCACATCATCAAGATTCAAACTCAGTTCGGCACGAAGATCAAGTTTGTTCGGCACGATGGAGCGCATGAGTTTGCGACCAACTCCATCAAGACCTTCTACGAAGATCATGGTATCGAACAACAGATCACGGTGCCGTATGCACACCAGACCAACGGCACCACAGAACGCGCGATAAGGACCATCGTCACGATCGGACGCAGCTTGTTGCATCATGCAAAGCTGGAGAAGTGTTTCTGGGCTGAAGGGGCAATGACGGCGATCTACATCAAGAACCGCCTGCCTTCACCCAAGATCGACCACAAGACTCCGTTCGAGATCGTGTACAAGTCGAAACCAAGTGTCAAGCACATGCGCGTGTGTGAATGTCGGGCGTTTATCCTGACACCAAGGGAGAAGCGATTGAAGTGGGACCCGAAGGCTCGTGAAGGGATGTTCATGGGCTACGAAGAAGCGTCAAAAGCTTATCGAGTGTACGACATTGAGGCGGGCCAAGTGGTAATCAGTCGTGACATCACCTTCGACGAATCGACTTTTGACTTTTCGATGGACCGACCAAGTGACGATGATGAAGATGCGGAGTTGGACCTCGACCTCCTGGCGATCAACGAGGACGACGTGCGTCAAACCGTCTACAAGCAGACTGGCAAGCGCAAGAGTAAAGCAAGACCCGGCATGTCACGTTCAGCTCGCCGGAACACGTCTCCAACCGTCACCAGAAACGACGATCAAGTGCTCCAGAAACGATGTCTGATGACGAAGAAGATGCAAGCGTCTACGATCAAGATGACGACTCGACGCCTCCAACATTTTGGCGTGCAAGTGCAAACGCAGTGGAAGCAACGGACCTAGCAGAACCTGTGACTTTTCAAGACGCGATCAATGGTCCTGATCAAACTCACTGGCGAAATGCTGTGAAGGCGGAACTCAAGTCGATGCATCTTCGTGGAGTTTTCCGTGCGGCAAAACTGCCAAGAGGCCAAGGCGCGATCGGCACCAAGTGGGTGTTCAAGATCAAGCGCAAAGCGGATGGATCGGTCGAGAAATACAAGGCGCGTCTCGTTGCCAAGGGCTTCAAGCAGAAGTACGGCATCGACTACACAGAGACGTTCTCGCCCGTGGTCAAGTACGTGACACTGCGTATGGTGATCGCGATCACCAAGTATTTCGACTGGCCACTGGACCAACTCGATGTGGTGACAGCCTTTCTCTACGGAGTGATGAAGGAGAAGGTGTACTGCGTGATACCAGAAGGCGTCGAGATGGATGGCGACTTCGACTGTCTCGAGTTGGTAAAGGCGATCTACGGTCTCAAGCAAGCTTCACGTGTGTGGAACGAGACTTTCGACGAGTTCGTATGCTCCATCGGTTTCGAAGCGTCGGCGTTCGACCCATGTCTCTACATCAAGGTTGTCGACGGTCACTGTGTGCTCGTGCTGGTCTACGTGGATGACGTGTTGGTCACCGGCAGCTCGCTCGAGTTGATTGCGCAGACGAAGGCCGACCTCAAGACGCGTTTCGAGATGACCGACAGTGGCAAGTGTACTTTTGTACTGGGCATCGAACTGGTGGACGAATCGGATGGCAGCGTGACGATGTGCCAGCGACGGTATGTCAACGACATCCTCAAGCGCTTCGGCATGGATGAGTGCATGGCCACAGCAAGTCCGGTCGACTTGAGCACTCGGCTTGTCGCAAGCACCGAAGCGGCCAAGATCGACGTTCCGTTTCGTGAAGCTGTGGGAGCTTTGATGCACTTGACGACTGCGACGC